TAGATCATAAATTAGTCGGGCTATTACAAAAACAGAAATCAGGACCTCATAATACTTGTATCTTCTTAACTTTAGAACGTCTAATTATGCAGTTCTTAATATAATAAAGATGAAACGGTGAACCCGACAAACCACAAACCGTAGTTTCGCAAACTAGACGTTTGCTTTTAACGTGCGCATAGCATGTACATTTACGCCAAGAGGGTATTTCACAGGAGACCAATTTCAGGGGATGGATTACTTGGGGATTAAAGCGGCAATTACAAGAGCCTTCAACCCCCCCCCCCCCATCCACTTAATAGGAACACATTCGAGTGATGATGGCAAATTAAATATAAAACAAACTAATACACCACCAGCGTTAACAACTCCTGCATTAAACTGCCAAACGGCTCGCGCACATTTCTAAACAGAGCGGTTTTAATTCATAACATTGTCAAATAAATTATTCATATTACGCTTTTCGGATTAAGTGAAAATTTGGAAGATGGAACCCATGATGTGTCATCACCAACACCGTCCATTGAGCCGGCAGTCCAGATCCAGCCGGCTCATTGCCCAGGCAAAGGCCCGTTAAGATTTGGCCACAACCTAACACACCGATAGACGCCTTACAAATCCGTCAAGGAAACCACCAGCTGCACACCCCCCTCTCATGGATGCGGCCAATGGAGACTCACCGTCGCCATGCAATCGTTATCTCGGCGACCATTGTAACGGGACGAGCGCTCACGCCAGGTGACGCTCCACGCGAGCGCCGGAGTGTCAGCGTCGCGTGCCATGCGCCGGAGTGTCAGCGTCGCGTGCCATGCGGCGGAGTGAGCAGCGCAACCCGGGCCCCGGAACGGCCCGGAGTGCGCCGCACACGGTTTTCTGCCGCCTGCACAACCCCATCGAGACAGTCCTCCTAATTGAATAGCAAATTGCTATCGAGTTGATATTTCATAACTATCACATTTTTCTCAACGTCTCCCTCTCCCCTCCCCTCCACATATTTGCCGTAAAAATACGAGCTCCCAGAAGTGACGGTCACAAGGCGAGAGCTGGTGATGCGCTAGAGGGCTAATTAAATGGAGACGCGGCGGCGAGGGGATAACGCTGATTAGCTCAAGATTAGTTTGGATAATTTACATAGCCAAGATGTTTGTTTACGCTGTGCACCGATTGATGGCAATCCAGGGGGCGTACGACCATCCTGGAGAACAACATAGGTCGGCTGAATGGACCTTGGGGGTGGAGGGCGAGAGGGAGATGGGTGTGTGGGGGGGGGCTGGAGGAGGGGGGCCATCACTCAAGGAGGGGATGCCACGGCGTGCGGTTTTATGTCCGAGTGGGAAAGATATTCTGGCTTTTGCCAGCATGTTTTTGAGCACGTCTCTTAACCGTGTGCCTGTTCGCTAATCTGGGACAAAGCAATGTTCTCTAAACAAAAATCACTGCAGGTGTTGTGTATAAATATATATAAAAATAACTCGGCTACGGCAAATTATAACAAAAAGATTTACCGACATTGAATAGAATTAATGCCATACTGTATGCTCACGTGCGAGGCTGCCTCTACCCATAATGCCCCGTTTGAGATGGGCATGCGGTCACCTACACCGCTGCATCACAGGTCACATGGTTACCCTGAAGCCACATGCAACAAATACCTCGGTTGGCTGTCAAGGCTCTGCACAATAAGCTGCGGAAATGAAAACCCACATTTTGTCAGCATTAAACAAGATTGTTCTTACAGGTTTTTTTATATTAATTGTCGATGACCTGGATTGTTAATAATACATTTTAAAAACAGAAACATTACAGCGATTACTCTACTATTTAGCTAGGAAAAATATGCACAGCTGCCAAATCGCGAGGTCCCGAGTCCATCTTCATCATCATCCATTTTGGGGTTGGTAAAATGAGCAACAAGTCATGGGTGAAGCTGCCCCCATCCATCGTTTAAGCCAAGATCTGGCACCCCTAGATATTTATCCGTTTGGTCTCTTGAAGGATGTTTGGCTCCTTGAAAATGGTGCTCGCAAAAGGGTACCATTGACACGGATGCATCCTTTGACCAGGATGGAAAGATGGGCCTGGTTCTACGTTGGCACGCACGCATGCGCGTAGAAAAGCACCAAGAATGTTGAAAAACGGTCAAACATTCACGACGTTCCCATGATTGAATAAATAAAAGTTTTGTATTGGTGGGCGAAATAAAATCGAGACGTAACTTTTCGGGACACCTCGTAATTCTCACTGCCGAATTCGGAGCGGCGAGTTGCAGGCGGGCCCCAGCGCACTGCTCGTTTGAGCAACTCCCCGCCACCTCTGGCCTAATTGGCACCCCAGGTCATAGCGCAATGGTCCTGTGCCTGAGAGGTTAACGGGCTGCAGAGGTCGGGGGTGCCCAGTGGTTGGTCGCCGCCACGCGCCGCGGCGAATGCGCTCCTCCGCCATGATAAATACCTGGCGCCGCTGCCTATCAGAAAAATTGGCTTTGGTGGGCCCGTAGGACCCAGTAACGGCTGTGTTGGTGGGCGTGATGTAACCGTGCACCTTTCGTGCCGAGGTCACGGATAGGGTTGGAGCTGCCAATTGTCCGCAGTGCGATTGTTCAGAGTGGCAGTGTCTCCCACACCAGTAACAGGCAAAAAAAAGAATCGAGGCGAAATGTATTGGTTTACATGCTCCAGCCGCTATTATTAAGTCGCGCCCGCCTGCCCTGCATGCTTTGCCTAAGCCATCCCCTACGGCCACCACCGTGACTTCAACAGGGTATCTGCAATGGGGCAATTTATTTACTTTCGACTCAGCCGAGCGCTGTGAGCACGCTCCATCAGATGTACCCTGGCTCGCACGAGGCTCCCCGAGGGATGTGCAGCCTAACGGGGCTATGGTGGGGGGTAGTGGACACCGTAACGATTTCTCAACGTTAAAAAAAATCAAACAAATAAAACAAGGTGCACACTTGTGCAACTCGGGTCCTCAGGAAGTTTGCTGCGCACCGTCTCCACTTTAGCGAACGAGGTCAGAGTGGGCGACCATCGGGGGCTGGGCGACGACCATGCATGGGGTTTCTCCAGGTGGCCGAGCTGGTTCGGTGGGGCAAGCGGAGCGTGACGGGTACAGGGCATGGGTGCTACTGGATGGAGCAGGCGGGCTCCGTGGTTAATTTTACTTTAGAGTGCTGGTGAACTCTCTCATTACAAACGAGCCGTTCAGTTTTGGGAATTTGCGATTAGGGTTGGGGGCACTGGAAAACCGTCGTCCACTCTTGTGGACGGTCACATGGGCGCCTTGAACGCTCACTTGACAGCAGATGCTCGCGTTCATGCTCACAGTACACTCGAGGCAGCAGCGGTAACTAAACTGTCGGCCGAGTGCACAGTGGTTCATCGGCGGGGACGCCAACCAACGTGGAGCCAGCGACGTTTCAAATCAATCAACCATTCAAGCGGGCAATGCTTCTCCGATGTCCACTGCGCTCAGGCAAGACACCACGGCTCGTACTGGTGGCCCAGTTGCCAACGCATGCGGAGGGCTCCCATCACGGGCGCTTACGACGAATGAGTGGTGCAGCCACCGTGAACCATTTCACCCCTTCACTTATTCATATTTATTCATTACGTGGCCCAGTCGGGCAGAAAACTTTAATTAAACATTCTAAACAGCAGCTGCAGCAGCGAGCGCGAGGAAAGCCATACGCGACGGATCAGTGAGGTTTTGCCCCTTTTTTGTTCCCACCCACGGACGACTCTTCCTTTTGTGCTCACCAGCCGTGGAATTGCGGTGCTGATGAGGCACAGCGAAGGCTGCCACTGAATCACAGCGCATAATTAAAAAACCCAATTCGGGCTTCAAAACTTAACAGCACTATTTATGAGCATCATTTAATGCCTGGGCCCAGGCAACCATTCATAAGAGTTATGATCATTGCCAGGCCAAAGCGGCCAATAAGCAACGCTTAAATCATGGGCCCACCACGTGAAGGCAGCTGTAACGGAGACGGTGGTGCGGGAAGATGGCAGGCGGACGCGACGTGGAGGGAAGGACAAGGAAAACAGAAACGCTCACAAACTTGCGTTCTAACAATCGCTTGCATTGCAAGAGGGGAAAGCAGGTCCAGGGGTTCTCATCCGCGCCACGTCTGCTCGCGCTCCAACGTCCCTCCCCGTTCCCCCCCCCGCCCTCCCAAGGGCCCGCCCACGACCGCGCCGCCTCGAGAAACGCACAGACAGCCACCGCCTCTCAAAAAAGGCCCCTCTTCAACCAACGCCCTCTCGCTGAGACCCCAGCAAATGCCCACGCCTCGGTCTCATCTCCCACATCTTCCCACGGTCATCGTCAGAGCGACGCCACCCGGCGCCCACCCGTCCCCCCGGCTCCCCGCCCCGCGGAGCGTCCTGCGCCGCGCTCGCGCCGTTGGCTCGGCGTTATCGGGCGATTTACGAGTGCGGGAGCCGGCTCGCGGCGACTTTATCTCACCCCCACGGCTGCCGGGGAAAGCCAATTACCAATGCTCGCTGGACCGCGGCGAGATGGCCCGGTGTTAAAAAAAAAAGGTGGAGGAGGGAAAAAAATGGAACAGAAAACTAAAGGACAGAGCTGCGTAAGCAGTTTGTCCCACCATGGCGTGGCAGGGGATTCCGACAAAGTCCTGAGCATAAATCCTCTTAAACTGTCCCATCGTGCTGGGGATTGCAAAAAATAAATTTAAACAAAAAGTAAATAAAATATAAAACACGAGTTTTCGATCAAGCGCGGGGCTCCGGAAGGTGAGGCTGCCCACTGGCTGAAGATACATTCTCTGCCACGCACAGGGTTTGGTGCATTCTTGAATAATGCCACGCTCACCGTTTTTCTGCTCGCCCGTTAACTAAAGTTTTTATCTCCTTGGCTGCACAGTATTTGTTCAGGCTCCCGCCTCGTCAGTTATTCGTGTGTGAACTGAAAAAGGTGCCCGACGGTTAATACATACGAACATCGCTCCCGTTCTCCGTGCGTGCGCGACTCACCGCAGCACGCCGAGGTCGAGGCTCAGATAGAGGCCCACGCACTCGGCTCGGCACTCCTCGTACGTGGACGCGATGGACGAGAACTTGCCGTCCCACGTCTCCTTAGACTTGTACCAGCTCTTGATCTGTACACAGGGTTCAAGTGGGGGTTAGGGTGAATGTTAAGTGGAGTGGTCAAGTTAGGGAATGGGGTTGTGGTTGACTGTGGGCATTCCAGTCGCGCCGCGATTAATCCCGCCAACGATTTTTGATCAACTATCACGACTTGGGGGATGAAATTAGATTCCTAAAAAATGTATATTAGGTTTCCTTTCTGCCATGTCTTTGGTAATGTTTGTCGATTATTCCGCCTTGGAGTACCGACGCGTGTTCCCACCAATAGCCCAATGGGCCCCACAGTACGTGGAAAAAAATTACTTAAAGACTAAACCAAACACTTAGCAAAGCAGCATCAGCAAATAATGCGGCGTAACACGCACCACGTGCCGAGAGTGCAAGCGTCGCCCGTGCGCGAGAAAACATGGGCAACGGCACTTCAGATGCACGATGCAATGGAATTATTGCACATCACTAAACACGTGGGCATGCTTAAAATTACCCACAGCGCTAAGGATAACTACCACCACCCCCCCTAGAACCTAATACCACTTGGGAGTCACCGTTAATGAAATCGTTATGTCGGAACGAACGGTGCTATTTCCATAATTATTTTAAAAGACTTCCTTGAGAGGTGGGGGGACATTTGTGCCAATTATCCTCCATCACCCACTAAGTGCAACATCCATAATCTTTAGTTTGTGTTGCAGTTGCAGACTTTAAAAAAATAAAATAAACTCATTGGCCGCAAATGGCGGAGCCGTAAGTTGGAATTCGTTCATAAACGTTGGGCGAAATTTAATTGAGCGGCGAGAGCCTCCTCTCTGAGCCCTCATAACCACTGGTCACCCGACCAGAACTTATTAAAATTGCTCAATTAATAATTCAGCGGGCATCCGCGACGACGCAGGGACTTGCGAGCGGGCCCCCGAAAAATGGAGACGTAGCGATTATGGGGGGCGGGGGGAGTATAAAAACCAAAGCACGGCAACGTAACAAAACAACGGAGACGACAACATCAAGATAAATAAATAAAAACGCAAACAAAGCGGGGCGAAGGATGCAAGAGCGGCGTGAACGCCGCTGCCTCCGAGACGGACACCGTGTGTAATTTGCGATTGCATTCACTATCTGCTCTTTAAAAGAGCCTCAGAGGTCCAATTTGGCGGCAGCGGCGGCACATCATCCCAACCCGGCACAAACGAAAAATCAAAGCTGCGAGCGCCCCGGCAACGATTACAGGATGTCCAGGGGGCTCAGGGGAGCGAGCGGCCGCGGTTCAAACGAGACGGGGGGGGGGGGGGGGCAAACGGCGAGATAATGGGAGGGGGGGGGGGGCATCGTTGAGGATTTACTTTTCGCACACGAGCCCGACCGGTCAAGTCAACGCAAAACCACTTTGGCAGCCCCCCCCCCCCCCCCACCGTGCCACCCAACCATCGCCACCCGCGTGTAACAACAACGGTGGTGCTCGTCGACAGCGAGCCTGGGGCGGCTCTGGCACGAGGGCGGTCCGGGAGACTGGGCACGCTTGATAAGGTTGGGGGAGGGCATCCACCACTCATCCCCCCCCCACCCCATCTGCGAGTTCGATCGGCAAGCTTTGGGGTTACGATTGCACTCAAGGATTGATTATGCGTCTTATCGTTAATGGTTGAGTTGGTACCGTTTCTCAGGTCTCGTTTGTAAAGTTGCGTTCAATTCGGCATCCCAAACGCTGCAATGGTGTGCGATTTGCATATGATTTGCATATGTTGTATGAAGACTTATTTTCTACGAGCACGATTCAATGCATTAATTGTAAGAATACATTTTAAATAATCTAAATATGGATTTATTACACGTAAATGCGGAACGTTAACAAGTAAAAACCAGAGCAGCGGACAAAGTCAGCTCATAAGAGAGGAAATGCAAACACAGCGATGTCAGAGCAGAGATGGAATTTTTACGTCGTAGAACTTAAATGTTTGGACAGGCGAGCGGCGATTTAAAAAGGAAGACGCACCTCGGCCATGTCCCAGGCTGTCTTGACACGAGCTGGGAGGAGAGTTGTCACAGCACTGGGTGACACCACTCCCACAACGCCTCAACACGGTAATGCGCTGACATTTTTGAAGTGCTACGCTTGGGGTGACCAAAACGTCCCCCCCCCTCCCCCCCCACACTAATCTTCCAACTCACGTCAGCCAGCCTAGACGCTTATCTACAAAAGCGATCTGCGCTTTTGGAATGCATCCTTTTTAAAGTCGAGCCGAAGCTCGCGAGGAGGGACATCACACCGCTGCTCACCTCGAGCAGTCAAAGTTTACATTGCCCCCCCCCCCCCCCCCGGTGTAAATAAAGTGGGCACAATTAAGCTGCTCCGGACCAAAGACACGGCCGTCGCAATTGCTACGGGGTTTTATGGCAAGTGTAATAAATGGCGGAATGTCCAAGCGTGGCGGTAATTGGACCGGTAATGGCTGGAATATGTTGCGATATACTTAAACCCTCGCCTACGTAAAAAGGCAACGGGCGCGTCACGTGTGAACCGCAGTCAATTGTTATTGATAGAAATTACTGCGCCGGGTACCCCGTCACGACTGCAGGCCGAGGCACGTAAACAACAAATATAAATGGTGGCAGTGGGAGACTCGTAAAAACGGCCGTGTCCGCAGCTCCGAGCCAGACCCTGCATTGAACCTGGGGTGGCCACCACCTGCGGTTAATCTACGCACCTATATGTGGCAAGCCGATGGTCTCGGCCCCAACACCAACAACTGTGCATTGCGAGAGCTGCCACGGTGGAACGGGGAGCACACCAGACTCGCAAACCAGAGGTCGACCGGTTCGATTCCACCTCCCGGCGTGGTGGTGGCCCAGTTTATCAAATCACCTCCCCCACCTCCATCCACTTGACGGCATTTATTCCACCAAGTGGACAAGAGGCTTTAGCAGGCACTAACATGTCTGCAGCTGTCCTCCGACACAAGGTGGTACACTCATCACTACGAGTTCCCATTGGCAGTGTCCTCACCGCTTCGCACGACGCAGAAAGCGCTCCAGAAAAAAACGGCCGAGAAAAAAACCACACAAACATAAATAAGTTCGACACAAGTCAACTCCGTCACACGACCATAACGCCCATATCGTTAATTGCTCAATCCCCAATTACACACACGTCATCGGCGCCTGCATGCTGCTCGTTCTCCCCTGCACTTGTTTCACTGTTTCACATTCGGCAGATGGGCGTTCACGTAGCAGTAAATGTCACGCGCCAACATCAATCTCCGCCTTCATTCCACTCCGCTCGTAGTTTTTATTTATTATTGCGGACGCACAACACCATTTGTGCCCTACACGCACGCGTGCCCGTCCCCATGCGTCTGTGCGTAATTACGCGGTGGGAGCAGCAGCGTGGTTAATGATCGCGCTGCGCCACGATCCTGGCCACCTGGGTTTAGATTTCAGATCGGGATGCTCAACATAAGCAGCGCGTGCGTTCTGAACCTGGGCTAGGTTGGCTTAACCTTATAAAGGACAGGCTGGTGCGTGCGAACATCAGCGCTAGAGAAACGAAGGCAGCGGGGTACAGCACGGATTCTCTTCCAAGAGGATTTGCAGATTGTCCGTCCGTTTATCTTGACATTCTTGCACGATGGTGTTCAAGATTCTCGTGCATTACGAATTTAGTTTTAGCAGCGAACTATGACCCACATCTTAGCGAGGAGGTCCTGCGCCCATAAATTCTACCGATAGAGACACTGAATGCAGTGGCGGCTCCTGCAAAATCTCTCAGGGGGGGCAAATGTCTGGATGATTGATAAGGATAAGGTCCACCCATGCAATGGATAAATTAACAGCTTAAGCATGTAAAGGCAACTTCACTTCTTTAATATTAATGAAAAATAAAGTGACTCTTACAATACATCTTGTTTGTTTCTATACTCACTATTAAAAGAAACCACTCAAGTTTATTTTATTAAAGATTCCACTAGATTTTGATTTAAAACTTTCGTGACTGCAGGGATTCATCTTCTTGGTTCTTTCGGTAAAGTCACGTAGAAGGGAAGTAATAAAATAATAAAAATAAAACATAATAAAATTATTCTCACGACGTTTCGGCCACAACGCAAGCAGCCGTCCTCAGGTGAAAACCAGGTCCGTCGAGGCGACAGAGTCTGAATGAAACAGCACACGAGCTTGGAGCATATATAAGCTGGGCGCCTTGACAAATGAATTTGCATATCAAGAGGAATTTAGCATATTTATGGGAAATGCAGGAATGTGATTAGTACTGCATATGCATGTGCATTATGCAGGATTAACAGCATCAAAGGGAGCTGCAGTTGCTGCTGCTGCAGTTTCTGCTGCTGCTGCAGTTGCTGCTGCTGCTGCAGTTGCTGCCTTATCCATTTTAATATAACACTATGTATTATTCTACCCACCCTAATGTGTATCACACTGCTATATATTTACTATACAATTACGACACCATACATTACTCTGCACACTGCACCATGTCAGTGAGTGGAACGTTGTGGCCGAAACGTCGTGAGAATAATTTTATTATGTTTTATTTTTATTATTGTATTACTTCCCTTCTACGTGACTTTACCGAAAGAACCAAGAAGAAGATTCCACTAGGTGGCGATAAATTATATTGTTGGATGAAACGTGCTTACGTATGATGACGTAAGCACGTATGATGACGTAAGCACGTATGATGACGTAAGCACGTTAGGGCTTGCCCTCCCGGAAGCCATAGAGAATGCATTGGAGCGCCCCCCTCTTTCAATGTAAGTCTATGGGGCCACTCGGGGCGATTCTCAGCCGGAGTGAAATCGCCCAAAAAGAGGCGGTACTCCACAGAACGTGACATGACGCTGATTGGACTATATCCAGAGGCTGCAGTGACGGCTAGCGTGACTCTGTGGTTGAATGACATTGGTGGTGCGTCGCCCAATCGCCCTAATGAAGAAACCGCCCCTGACTGAATGTCAAAACCAGTCCAGTGTTCGCTTGCGTTGAACCAATGCTGACGAACGAA